AGCTAGTAGAGAATAGATATACTGAAATAATACTAAACTTAATAGAATTTTTGAAAAACAAATCAAGTGCAACAGCACCTTCAGAATGAGTATAATAGCTATGCACATGTAGTTTAAGATAGTTATAGATTATGATTGTAGATCTTTCTGCAGAGCAGTCAAAATTTGTCCAATAGTAAGTGAAAAAGTTGTTATTACAAAAAGAAAGCTTTGTTTGTATAAAATTTTTGTTTGGTAATACTAGCTATTGTAATGCTATAATGAATATAGTAATCTTGCCAGATTTGTCTTTTAGAGAGAGTATTAAAGCCTCAAACATTGTATGTAGCTAAAGTGAGATATAGATCATGGTAATTAGTTAAAATAGTTAATAATCTAATAGGTGATAAAGAGTAGACAGAATATTAGCTTGAAAGAATATGATATAGCTAGAAAGAGTTTGCATAGCAATATTGACAGATATTTTGTAAAATTGAAAAAAAATGGTTTAAGAGATAATGAAGAAAAAATTTAAAAATTTGTAGAGAAGATAGTAAAGAAAAATTATATTTGGTAAGAAAATTTGTTAAAACAGATATTTTCAAATAAATGAATGTATTTGAGGAAAAAAAGAACCTTTTGTAAAAGTGCTCACTATATGCCTAGCTTTTATAGCTGTGCATAAATCTAAATTCTGCTCTGTGTATTGAGTCTGACTATTATTACTTGGTTTCTCTATATATGATAATATTTTAGATACATCATGCCTATTGTAATAAATAAATAATAAATAATTATATAACACAGTAATATTATAGATTTAGTTGCATGTTACTTATAAATAATTTTTAGTTGCATATACAAATTAGTATACAAATTAGGTATTTTGATTAATTAACTTTATAAAACCAAATATAATTTATATTAATTTTTTTAATTTTTTACCTTCAATGTATTTTGAAAGTTTTTAGTCACCTTAAGATTTCTTATACTTACTAAAGCCAGAGTTATCATTTTCTGCAGAGATTAATAGATGGTATTTAGCTCTATATTATTTAGTCTTTGTAAATTACACTTCATTGCTATATACATCATCTGTAGTGTTTCAGCCTCTCTATACTATACTTTGTAAACTCAAATTTTTGTTAATTATTATACTGTGAAACCATAACTTTTCATCTGAATTGATATAGTCTGAGAATATTTTGTCTTTATAATAGTGACAAGGCTGTTGCTCTTTTTGCTCTGAATACCCAAAGAGTTTATTTTTTAACTCTTCTTCTTTGTATTTACTTTTGGTTTCTTTTCTACAGCAGAACTGTCAGAATTATTATTGTCTTCAGCAGCAGGCTAAATTACTTTAGAGGGTAGTTATTCTAGATACTTGTATATTAGAGTTTTCAAAATTTGACTAGAACAGTTATTTCTTTATTTTTTTTAGTAGAAGGACATCTCTAAAGTATTATAATCTATTTTTGGCATTTATCTGAAAAAGCTAATAATTTTCAATAATGGCTTTGTAAGATATAGTATTTATTACAACTACATCAGCTGGGACTAGAACTTCTCTAATGATAAACAGAAAGTTTGATGTTTTTCTAATAGCTTGTTTGCTTTGTTTATAAACATTGACCATGTTGGCAGTAGAAGGACATTCTATCTTAATTTCTAACTCGCTCAGCAAGTTGGAGATAACTATGCTTTCAAAGAAATTACTATCAATGATAAGAGAAATAATGCTTTACAATACATAGCTATTAACTTGTGAGTGAGGTTAATGTTAATAAAAGTCTTGATATTCTTCTTTTTATATATGCTTTCTTTTTATACAAGCTTTTTGATAACTCTGTACTTATGAATAGAACTGCTTTCAATAATTGCTTAACAGTTTTATTAGCTAGCTTATCTTTGATATTAGTCACAATTGAATATAGAGAAACCAAAACTGAGATTTGTAATAAGTTATTTTCAACCTTTTTTCATCTAGTGAGAGCTGCTTTGGGTCTTTGGTGAACTTGGGTTCTTGAGAAACTGTTGTAATAGTTACTAAAGTTTTCTAACTGATTTAATAGCTTTTCTGAAGCTATCTCTTTAACATGTTTCTTTTTACTACAAGTGTACTAAGCTGGTTTTTTTAATTTCTTGAGTAAGAAAGAATAAAGAATTCACAATTTCTTTGTGCAGATTCAAAAATATTTGGCTTTTATTATCTCTATTATAGGGTAATTAACTGTTATTGTTATTTGCTAAAACAATAATGATTTAATATGATTAAAGCTTAATTATGCATAATAAACGTATTATTATTTATAACAATGGCATTAATGTACATTATTATACTTTTGGCAACCAATTTTGTGCACACTCAGAAAGAACATCCATAAATACTTGTAAGCTATTCAGGTTACGAATGAAAATTACTTCTTTATACTTTGAAAAATAGAAATAGTTGAATTTTATAGTACCATATGTATTAAAAGTTTAAACAACCAAATGTAATAATCTATGATACATTTTATTCAACTTTGCAATTGTGATAGCCAGATACGTAGATAAAAAGATTTTCGAAAGATTTATAAATTAAGCGTAACTAAAAGAATAATAGCTTAAATAAGGAATTATATATTTGAAGCAAAATATTTTATTAAAGATTAGTAGTATACGTACGTACATTTAGTACATAACAGATGAATTTCCACGTCCTATGATAGGATTCGCGAATAGGGTTTGAAACGTCCAAATCTAAGATTCTGACAGCTCAAAATCCTAAAGGTTGGGACCTAACAGTTTCATAAGAAAAAGTGTAACAATCATGTTATAGCGCAAGTGTCATATTTGACACATAGCTATTATTCCTGAATATTAGCAGAAGAATTATTGCAAATTCATATGATAATGAATAATAGAACAGGGTAAAGCCTGTGTTTGTGTAATAATGCCTAATATCCGGAACATGTGGAAAATTTGAGTCCATACACAAAATCTTGATGCTTAGTAATCGGATAATTTTCATGACGTGATATCTACGTCCTTATAACTATGTTTAAAGCCTGGTGTGGTCGTATATAATTTTAATTAATGTTAATTTAAGATTAGAATTAGGGCAAGTTTTATAAAGGTCTCGTAAATTTCAAAATTTGATCTTGATATGTTGATTGATTAGATACTAATACTACGGCATAATCATAAAAATATTTTAGCGTGTAACGCTTTCAACTTTCAGTAACCTTTGATCTAGAGTGATACTTTTAATAACCATTTGACTTCATGATATGAAAATATGCCGATAGCTGTGAATCACTGTCATTTATTTAAAACCTGATTTATTGCAATTAGACAAATAAAAATACAATCGGACTTTTTCATATTAAATAAGACATTCAAATTCAGATCCTCAATAAGTGTAAGGCCTTCGAAATTATCAGTTATCAAATTTGCTAACATGAGCTATGCTGAAGAAACAATGTTATGTTTATTATTGTCACAAACATGGATCGGAGTTAATAGGATAAACATAAAGCATTCATTATTATTAGAAAGCTGCAAAATGATTATGCTAAAGAAAATATATAATATCGCAGTGTTATTAAATTGAATTGAAGTCAAAACAAGATAAATTCAAAATTCAAATACTAGTGCAGTTGTAATTGCTATGACTACAGAATCAGCATCAAAAAAAAAATTGTCAAGGTTTTTAAATATTTTGTAGAGGTCAAGGTGATATTGAGATATATAATATTGCTTATTGCTATCTAATGATATCTAAAATTAAAAAAGAAAGCATCGATATGTTTAAAAAAATTTGCTGTTAGCAAGTGCTGCGGTGCTGCGCGGTACCCATGTGACTAGTGATCGGGTACGTGTTGTTCGAATGTTGCGATCTAATTGATGCATTATATCACGATTTAATTAAAAGTCTAAAATATTGATGCATGAACGATGAGTAATAATCAGTGACGCAAGGGCGTATCGGTAATTAATATTTAAGGTATCGATCATAAATGGGAGATACCAGAGATTCTTTGACCCGTAATTACCTTGTGTTATTCTTAATGAATAAACTGTTATCTGTGTGAGCTAATTGTTATCGATGGTACGATACTCCAGTCATCGTATATATTAGCCAAGCGAGTAAAAACGGATAATAAAGATCAAGAAGTACACGGTAGTCCGAAGAACTCCGTGACATCAAGTTTTATGGTGCGGAATTTAGTTAATTAAATTTATATAAATGCAGGACAGCTATATAGTGTATAGAATGAAAATGAAATATGAAGAATGAAGGTAAGGTTACAAGAAGCCTGCATAAATGAGTCATACTGAAAAAATGCCTATGTCTGAAAGTTGCTAACAATGTTAGATCAAATTGAGTGCTGTCAATAGAAAACCTGTCATCGGGTTTTCAATGTTCAGTTGGCTTTCTGCATGCTATCTATGGGCAATTGTCTATAGACGGCATACAGAAAACCAACTGAACATAGAAAGCCCGATGACAGGTTTTCTATTGACAGCACTCAATTCTACTCACCGTTAAATCAACTGCCATAATTCTATATCAACCATTATCGTTATATGAGTAACGGAAAGGGAAAAAACCTGCACTCATTATCATATCTACCCCTATAAGAATTAGGGGTGCTTATAACTGCGATGATAATGAATGAAATGATTTACAGGTTTTCCATTCATATTATATAAAATCTATTAAATCAGCTGTTATATCAATTACATCAATTGTTAGATTAATCGGTTTATAATAAATATGCGCTCCTTGCATTGTTCCGAATAATTTATCAGATAATTCGGTTATCCGGTTATCCATTTTATCCGATTATTATTATCTATTTGATACCCGGATATCTATGGATAAATGAATAACGGATATGACTTATTACTAATCTACATCGTAATGAATTTTATAAACTTTTTAAACCTATAAAATGGAACTGAACATGATAGATATTTACAGTAGTTAAACTGAAAAAAGATTGATCAAATAAATCATATTTTCGTATTTCAAAATGAACGCAACCTATCTTATAATATTCATACTTATTGTTTTTTCCAATATTATTCATTCACAATGGATTCCACGTAAAGAAAATGGCGAAAATACCAATATATGTAAAAAGCTTAATGAATACGTTAATTCATCTAATTCCAAAGAAGAATTTCTTAATTATTATGATATAAAAGCTTGTTATGAATTAGCACCGTACAATAAAACAAAGGCAATTCAGGTATTGCTAATTTCGAGCAAATAAATATAATGTGTAAATTTGATAGTTAATATTAATTAAAGTTATATATTAGGTAATAGAAACAGTGAAAGAAAATCTTAAAGGGTTCTATGCGTTACTAGATCAAGCAAAAGAAGAACAAGATTCAGGATTTGCTTTAAGACCCATTGACCTAATATCTGAATTAGATTTGGTGTTAAAGAATAATTATTCGCACGAATTTCAATTTATTGTAAGTAATAATTTTTAATTTATAAATTTACCCGTAGTGTATATACGGGTATAATTTATTGAATTGCAGATTTGTGTAACGTGCCAATTAAACAATTTTTTATAAATGAAAAAAAATTAAACCCTTGCTTATGGTTAGGGTGGGTTTGGGATTGGGTTCCTTTTAAATATATCGTATATAATTAATATACTATTTATTGGTATATATTAGTACGCTGTTGCAGATCTTATCGGAGAATTGAGAGATGGACATACCAAGTAAGTTACTTTGATTCTAAAAAATATAAAAATATAAAAATATAACAAATCTTGTATATCATCACAGACTGCATTCTTATAATTATCACAAATACGGTTTTCATCAAGGACTTTCCATGTATTCTGTGATTAGGAAAGATGGCACGCAGGTAAATGATTAAAAATATCATAAATACAAATAATATATCTATATACTAATTTATCTATATTAGCAAATTAAAATTTTTAATGACATAAAAGAACCTAGCAACACCGATTGTCAAGTTATAGATATAGATGACAAACCAGCGATTGATGTAATTACAGAATTTGCTAGAAATCACACAAATTTGGCAAGAGATTTGAGTTCTCGATTTAATTCAGCCCTTGCATCACTTGCTTTTAGAAATGGTGATTTTTATATCGCAGGACAATTATTCACAGTTAGAAATCAATTGCCAAAATATCCAAGTATTTCTTACACTCTTAATTGTAATGGTAAAATTTCCAAAATTACTCGAGAATGGCAAGTTCCTATTAACAGTGTGCAATATAAATCTCCATATATTAATGGGACTTCAGTCGGAAAATCAACTTTAATCTTTGATGCAGGCATTGCCGGATTTTATATATTACAGGACTTTGGCGTGGTCTTGATTTCAACTGAAAAACCTTTAAATAGTGACGTATATCGTTTTCTAACTAATGTAACCATTGGATTTAAATTACTTGCTGACAAAGGTATAAAAAGGGTAAGCAAATTATAAATATATTTAAACTAAATAATTGAAGCTTCTGATCATAAAATGTTTATTATAAGATATTAAAACATTTTTTTTTAAATTTCTTAGATCATTTTGGATTTAAGTAATAATGAAGGTGGTCAAATTTTTGTTGCACACTATATAAACAAACTCTTATTTCCAAACATACAAACATTTCCATTGGACTATAAGGTTAATAATATTTCTATTCCATTTATAAAAGAAATGTCAAAGCTTAAAAAGGAAATTGGAAACATATTTAATTATAAGACATTTATTTCTGAAAAGACAAACTCTCCATTTGATAACGTTAATGACTTTATTGGAAATAACGTTTATATTCGTGGTGGTGATCAAGTTAGATACACTTCAAGAGCATTTTTTAATGATACAGCACTTCATAGTGGGATTCCAACACCTCCAAAACTTCCTTGGACTAGAAAAGATATTATAATTTTAACAAATGGATTATGCCGATCATCATGTGCGCTTATAACTCAAAGAATGGCAGAAATTAATGCTTCTACCATAGCCGTTGGTGGATTTCCGAATACTCGGTTTTCTTTTGCTCAACGTGCTGGTGGAGAGGCAACAGATACTTCATACATTAAAACTTTATTTAAACAACTTAAAAATCTTGATAGATCCCTAGTTACTAAATTATCTCTTCCTTCAGATTTAAAGTTGTCTTTTACTTTAGCTGAAGCCTATAGCATTAAAAATCCAGAAGTTATGGATTTTGCTTTTAGACCCGCAGATTATCAATTGTACTATAATGAACAGAATGCTAGAGATCCAAGTCATTTATGGATAAAAGCTGCAAAATATTTCAAAAAAGTAAAGTGATACTACACATGAATTTTATATAAATTATTAACAGCTAAATGTATATCATAATTTAGAATTTAATTTATTTTTTCATTTTAAATTATGCCATTATTTAGAAATTTAATTGCTACTTTCTTTCTTATATTCTTTTTTTTTAGAATAAATATAGAAATTTATTAACTGACATCAAATAAAGCATAATGTTTTAAGCGAAATACATATGCGAATTTCAATTAATTCATAGTCAATTTAGCGAAAATAAAGCTACATAATGCATATTATATGAATTTAAAATAGTACATTAATTAAAATTAATAGTAAAAGTTTTGCACTTTATAAGTTTCACTTTTTTTTCACCAGATTGATATTCACTAGACCATTTATTAATCGATTTATTATCAGAGCTAATAATATTAGTTGTTTCATTAAATGT